TGTAAAAAATCAATAAAATGTATTTAAAAAATAGACAAGTGGATAAAGAAGAAGTGGTACATATATACAATGGAATATTACTTGGCTGTAATAAAAAATGAAACCTTACCTTTTGCAACAGCATGAATGGACTTAGAGAGGTTAAACTCAGTGAAATAAGTCAGACAGAAAGATAATTACCATATGATTCCAATTATATGTGAAATCTAAAGAAAAAAATCAATGAACAAACAAAATAGAAAGACTCATAGAGATCAAACTGATGGTTGCCAGAGGGGAGAAGGTTTGGGGGCTGGATGAAATGGTGAAGGGATTAAGAAATACAAATTGGTAAGATTAAAAATGGCAGCAGAGTACTAGTAAGTTGATAATGCACAAACATGGTCTTGGAACAAACTTGAAGAGCGACTAATATACAGAAAAACTTCCTGAATAATCAATGGAAGAATTGCTGGAGAGAACCCTAATCCTTGGGTGGAAGTAGATGGGCTTAATGATAAAATCATGAGAATGGAATATTGGGGTTAGGAGAGAGAAATCTGTTTGACTGGAATCATTTGAAATAAACTCAGGGATTGAAGGAAGAAATATTTTCTCACACACAACTAATGATTTCAAGTAGGAACTGTTCTTCTAACCAAGAAGCTGCTTAGCTGGCTTCATTTTTTTTGAGCTTCCAAATCTGGAGGAGCAGTTGTCCAGCTGAGCTCTGACTGGCTGCAGGTTGGGGGAAGGGCTTCTCTTGGCAGCTGGAATTAAAAGGTCAGGGGACTTGCAGGACTCATAGCCCACCAGCACAGTGAGGACTGAGATTTCCGGGGCATCCACTTCTCACTGCAGAGCCCAGCTTCCCGAAGAAACCCACCTCAGTCCAGTCCTTCATTCGGGGCCCACTGGCGGTTGAAGCAGCTCTGGCAGGACTCCCAGCAGAAATCAACTATCCCATCTGTCTGGATGACCTGAAAAAGCCTGTCACTATCGAAGGTGAGCACAATGTCCATCACTCCTGCATCCAGCAGTCCTGGGTTGATCTACAGGACAGGTTCCCTTGCCCTGTGTGTTGTCACCCATGTGAAGAGAGGCATGTGAGGAGCAGCCAGCTGGGAAGGATGGTGGTCATCACCAAGCTCCTCTAGACCACCAGGGGCAAGAAGAGACAGGAAGAGGTGCTTGTGGGACAAGCAGAAGGTCCTGACCCTCTTCTGAGAGAAAGACCTAGAGCTGTTGTGTCACCTGTGCACTCAGCCCCCTGACCACCAGGAGAGGCCCATGGAGGGGGCTGCCTGTCATCACAAGCAAAGGCTCAGCAGCTACATTGAGCCCCTGAAGAAGCAGGTGGCAGACGTTCGGAAATTAATAAGCACTCAAAGCAAAAACCTCTTAGAATTTAGAGAGAAGATGCAAAACCAAAGGCTGGACTTATTCTCTGAATTTGAGCACCTCAGGCGGTTTTTAGAACATGAGCAAGAAGCAGATCTTTCATTAGCTGATGAAGAAAAGGCTCTTGAAAAGAAACTCAGCGCTAATAGAACTGCATTTCCAAAGTACAATTCCACATCCAAAGATCTACTAAGTAAGGTAGTAGAGTGCACTGCGCTGAGGGAAGTGGAATGGCTGTTTATCTATCTTCCATGACTTCACTTTCATGCTCCTCCTCTAGCCTAAATAAGCTTTCTGGAGTGCCCCACAAATACACTCTTTTATCTTTTCAGAATCCAACTCATGTTTCAAGATCCCAGCCAAACAAAACTTATTCTCCGTAAAACTTGTCTAGACAAGTGTTTTATTTCTACTTGAAAACTCCTATGAAACATACTACCCTTAATATTTAGTTGCAATATTTCTCATGCTGCCTTGTATTATTTTGCAAGACTACATTGAAGGTGTTGAGCCTACAATACAGTGTCTGTTCCCTGTCTCTCATTTGATGTTCAATAAACACATGTCTATATCAAAGACACTGTCCAATGGATCGCACAGGAATTATAAGTCCATACAAATAGGACCCATCATTCTCTAATTCACATCTGCAAGTGAAAGGGGAAGGGAAGATGCCTCCTGAAGACAAATAATTTCATTTCCCCCATTAATAACTACATTTCTACCTGCAGAACAAATCTCTTGTTTTTGCCCACACCATATCTCTTCTCTCTTCTTTTGTGACAATAACTATTTTTGTGGGGGACCCACCATCTACCTCTGCATTAAGTCTCAATGGGAACATCTTTCACAACACTCTTCTCCCTCCTCTGGCCTAGGGATGGTCATGGAACTAAAGGGATCTGGGCAATTCAACTCTGTGGGCAGTAAAGCCAAGAGAGACCCTGGTTAACGCAGATCCACTCCAGGGCAGACCCTGACAGGACTTGAGTTGCCCTTGTTGCGTCCTTTCAGAGGCCTGTGTTCATCTGCCCATTTCAGAGAAATGTCTGCCTTCCTTACATTAGCCAGAGTTGGTTTCTCTGCTTGCAAACAATTAACCTCCACTAAAAAGCCTTCACCTTTTTGAAGTCACTGAAGTGTCTGGGCCTATGACATGGCAGATCATTTTTAGCTTTTTACTGAACGATAGGATTCATATCCACAAATTCAGTGATGAGATCATAGTAATATTTCTACTAATTTATCAATCCAAATTAGTGCTTTAATGTCTCTCCACATTACATTTTTCAAAGTTCACTCATTTTATTTTGTGCCAGTAGGGTAATTCAGTCATTTCTAGGTACAAATATGTTTCCCCTAAAAATGTTGCAATATACTTAAGAAAATATTGTTTGCAATTATGCTTTCCCTCCATACACTGTAAAATAGGGCACTGTATTCTAGTAATCTGCTTTGGATCCATCTAAGAAAGAAGAGTCAAAAATTCTTGCATTCCTACAATGCTGCCTAAATTCAAAACATCCATTGTTTTCCTCCAAAGTCGGTTTTCAGGTAATGATAGCCACAGGTCTGCCCATGGGATGCTGGTGGCTGGCCTGCCTGTTGCAGCCGCTCCAGGTCCCACAGCCCTTCAGAGCCAAGGTAGGAGACCCGCAAGGATGGGAGATTCGCCCTGCACGTGCCAGTGGGATAGAGGGGAGCCCAGCAGTCGGGCACCGAGGCCACACACAGAGCCTGGACTGTGAGGCTAGGTGCAGAGCTCAGTTCCCAGAGCAGATGCACACTGCACATGGGCTGGGAAGCCCCCACACAGCCATCACCCAGCAAACCATCCTGGTGAAGAACCAGGATAAAAAGGCAAAGCCGATGTGTTAGGGAACCCACCCCACCCTGTAACTCCTCCTGCAACCCTGCACTCTGGGCCAGGCCTCTTCATGAGGCTTATTTCCATCATGTCTTCTTTTATGTCTTGAAAGATGTGTGACACAACATAAGGTTTTCCCACATTGCTTTCATTGATAATGTTTTTCCCTAGTATGTGTTCTTCCTTCAATGCGTTCTAAGAGACTTGGAGAAACTGAAAACTTGACCACATTCATTACATTCATAGAGCTTTTCTGCACTGTGTGTGCTTAAATGGCTCGGCACGTGCAGGAGGCATAGAACTGATTTGTTTCTCTCATATCAATATTGCTCTCTGTCTTACTCTCTGACTTCCACTGTCTCAATGAAAAAATATCCTCTGGTGAGGATGAAAAAAAAAAAAAAAAGAACCAGGATGGTCAAAGGCTTTTCTACAATCTTTACACAGTAGGGCTTATTTTCAGTGTGAGTTCTTTCATTCATTATAATTTCTCTCCACTATTATTAGTGTTTTTGTGATTTTGAAGGGAACTGGGATGAATAAATGGTTTTCCACATGGTTAACATTCATAGAGTTTTTCCTTAGTATGAGTTCTTTTATGATGTTGGAGGGAACTTGGATAAGAGAAAGTTTTACCACAATGGTTACATTCACAGGGTTTTTCCCAAGTATGAATTTTTTCATGATTTCTAAGCAAAGAGGGATAAAAGAAAGTTTTACCACATTCCTTACATTCATGAGACATCTTTCCATGATGAATTAGTTTATATTCACTAAGACATTTGGCAGAAAGGGCTTCCTCACATTGCTTTCAGTCGTAGAGTTTCTCCCCAGTATGTATATTTTCATGATCTCTAAGAGATGCAGAAAGACTAAAAGCCTGACATACATGGTTTTTTTTCCAGTACGTGTTCTATCATTTTATGGGAGGGAAGCTGGATAAGATACACTTTTACCATAATGCTTACATTCATAGGGTTTTCATCCAGTATGAATTCTTTCATGTCTTCTAAGTAAAGAGGGAAAACGAAAGGTTTTCCCACATTCCTTACATTCATGAGACTTCTTTTCTTCATGACTTCTTTTATGACTTCCAAGAGAGCAGGGAGAAATGAAGGATTTCCCACATTCCTTACATTGATAGGGTTTTTCCCCAGTATGGATTCTTTCATGATATTGAAGGGAAGTTGAAGAAGACAAAACTTTACCACATAGCTTACATTCATAGGATTTTAAAACAGTGTGAGTTCTATCATGACGTTGAAGAGAAGATTTATAATAGAAACCTTTACCACACTGCTTACATTCATAGCATTTTATGCCAGTATGAGTTCGTCCATGACTTTGGAGGGCAGACAGATAATAGAAAGCTTTGCCACAATGCTTACATTCATAGGGTTTTTCCCTAGTATGAATTCTTAAATGATTTCTAAGGTTACAGGGATGATGGAACGTTTTACCACATTCCTTACATTCATGAGGCTTCCTTCCATCATGAATTCTTTTATGACATCGAAGAGAACTGAGGTAACTGAAGACTTTCCCACATTGCTTACATGCATAGGGTTTTTCCTTTTGATGAGTCATTTCATGATTTCGGAGGGAAGATGGATAAGAGAAAGCTTTACCACATTGCTTACATTCATAACGTTTTACACCAGTATGAATACTTTCATGAAGTTGGAGGTAATATTGATAATAGAATGTTTTACCACATTCCTTACATTCAAGAGGCTTCTTTCCATCATGAATTCTTTTATGCTTTCCAAGAGAGCTGGGGAAAATGAAGGCTTTCCCACATTCCTTACATTGATAGGGTTTTTCCCCACTATGCATTCTTTTGTGATATCGAAGGGAAGTTGAATAAGAGAAAACTTTACCACAAACCTTACATTTATAGGGTTTTTCCCCAGTATGAGATCTTTCATGATCTTGGAGAGAAGATTGATAATAGAAACCTTTTCCACAATGCTTACATTCATCATAGCGATCCCGAGTATGAGTTATTTCATGACGTTGGAGGGCAGATAGAAAATAGAAAGCTTTGCCACAATGCTTACATTCATAGGGTATTTCCTCAGTATGAGTTATTTCATGATTTCTAAGGGAAGAGGGATGATAGGGTTTTTTTCCCGTATGCATTCTTTTATGATATTGAAGAGGAGCTGAATAAGAAAAAAGTTTACCACAAACCTTACATTCATAGGTTTTCATTCCAGTATGAGTATTTTCATGATTTCTACGGGAATAGTGATGATGGAATGTTTTGCCACTTTCCTTATATTCATGAGGCTTCTTTTCATCATGACTTATTTTATGATTTGCAAGAGAGCTGCTGGAACTGAAGGCTTTCCCATATTGCTTACATTCATAGGGTTTTTTCTCAGAATGAGTTCTTTCATGATTTCTAAGGGAATAGGGATGATGCAATGCTTTACCACATTTCTTACATTCATGAGGCTTCTTTCCGTCATGACATCGTTTATGTTTTCCAAGACAGCTGCTATATTGGAAGGCTTTCTCACATTGCTTACATTTATAGGGTTTCTTCTCAGTATGCATTCTTTCATGATTTTGAAGAGAAGTGGAAAATACGAAAGCTTTCCCACGTTGCTTACATTCATAGGGTTTTTCTCCACATTGTGTCCGTTGATGCTCTAGATAAGACTTTGTACAACTGAAGGCTTTCCCACATTGCTTACAACGATAGGGTTTTTCCACGGTATGAGTTCTTTTATGATTTTGGAGGGAAGTTGAATAAGAGAAAACTTTACCACAAACCTTACATTCATAGGGTTTTTCCCCAGTATGCATTCTTTGGTGAATTATAAGGGAATAGCGACGACAGAATGTTTTACCACATTCCTTACATTCATGAGGCTTCTTTCCGACATGACTTCCATTCTGTTCTCCAAGAGAGCTGAGCTGATGGAAGACGTTCCCATATTCATAAGGTTTCTCACCGGTGTGTGTCCTTTCCTGATTTCTAAGGGAAGTGTAACTTAAAGCTTTTCCAGATTTCTTACATTGATATGGCTTTTCTGCAGTGTGTGTTCTATCATTTTCTCCAGAGTACTTGGGAGAACTGAAAGCTTTGCCATGTTGCTTACTTTGATAAGGTTTCTCTCCACTATGAGTATTTTTGTGAAGTTCAAAGTAAGTGAGACGATTAAAGCCTTTCCCATATTGCTCACACTCATATGGTTTCCCAGCGATATACGTTCTTCCATAATTTCGAAGGGAAGTTGAAAAGTGGAAAGTTTTCCCACTGGGGCTGCCTTCATGGCTCTGAATATGTTGGTGAGGCTTGAAAACTTTCTCACATTCCTTATATTTATAAGGTATTTCTTTGTATTCCTGACACAGGTACAGTTTGGGTCCAATGTGAGAGCTCAGGTGGTTATTCAAGGATAAGTAACATAGGAAGATTTGCCTACACAACCTGGATTTAGGTTGTTTTATTTCAGAAATTTCCTTCTTTTCATTATTATTTGGAATCTGGCTGAAGTTTTCTCTGTATTGACTACCATCCTTCCTTGTACAGAGTCTCTTTACAATATGATTGCTGTAAAAATCAGAAGCATATTATTAATACTCTGTTAACAATTTAATATTTATTAATAGCATGACAAGGACATTTTTACCATTTTCTAAGAAAGGGTGGGGTTTCTGAACATTCCATTTTTGAAAGTGGATATCTTAAAACTTCTGTTATAGGCTGGATAACTAATATTATGAAAACACTTATATTCATTAATGGTACTTCTGTATATTGTTTCCAAGTGTAATTTTATCTTATACACTAAACATCGAGGTCATATTTCAAAAAAAAAAACATTTTGATGAGATTATTCTAAAAATCAATACATTTAAAACTGGGCTGATACAATTGGATTATCTGTTTTTGCTTTTCTGGACTTGGTTCATAAGGGACAGTGGTTCAGGATAGACCCAAACACCAGGGGCTAACCAGCTCAATTCCCTGAAAGGGAACATGGCCAGATTACAGACTTATTAAACCCAGTACAGGGCATGCAGGAGGCAGTCTCCTGATTTTTTTATCTCTCACTCTCAACACAACATATCAAAATCAATAATAGCATATTTTTGCACCACCAGCGAGGCTCACTGAACCTCTGAACCAGGTGGTCATAGTTCAATTTCTGGTCAGGGCACAATCCCAGGTTCCAGGAATGATTACAAATGTGGTGCATGCAGGAGGCAGCCATCAATAATTCTCTCTCATCATTGTTTCTTTCTCTTTCTCCCTCTTCCTACCTCTCTGAAGTAAATTTTTAAAAAATTAAACATACAAATAAATAAAATAAATATATAAAAAATATATTAAAAAACACACACACACAAAGATGCTCTTAATGCTTTCTCATGTCAATGCAACTCACCTAAGATTCATCCCATGCTTCTTATACTGATCTTCATTGTCATGGTCATCACATTGTTCTAAAATACATGCTAGAAAAAAGCATTATAAACTATTAAAGAATATAAAAAATGGTTAGATTTTAAGTACACAATGAGTTGTGATCATTCCTGGTTTAATTACCAGTATACTCTCTTTCCATATTTCAGTTTTTGAAACAGCATTGATGAGCAAGCAACACTCGTTTTCTAATTGCTTAAGTAACAAGTGGTTGCAGGCCAGAGTTGCTCTGTGGTGGACTGTCAACCTATGAACCAGTATAAACCGGGAGGTCAAAGGTCAATTTCCAGTAGGACCGGTTTGCAGGCTAGATCCCCAGTGTGAGGCGTGCACGAGGTACCAAATCAGTGATTTTCTCTCATCATTGATTTTTCTCCCATTCTCTCCCTCTCCTTCCTCTCTAAAATCAATAAAAATATATATTAAAAAATAATTTGTGGTACCTACCTACTGATGCCAGGTTCCAGAAGGTTTCCAGCATCACATCTGTGTAGAGTTTCTTCTGGGTGGGATCGAGGAAAGCCCACTCCTCCATGGTGAACTCCACATTAACATCCTCAAAGGCCACTGAGTCCTAAAACATCCCACATATACATATAGGAGAATGGATGAGATAGACAACCCTGGGGACCCATACATAATTCATAGGAAGTTCACATAGGACACATGATCCCCAACATTCAGTCTATGACTTGATTGTGAGACTATTATTAATTTGCCATACTCACTTCCTCAAGAGAGGAATTTATTGATATGATTTTATGGTAATGACTTCAACTCTTCTTTGCTCTCTAATGTCAGGGTAAAAAACACCTTGAACAACTTCTATATTAATAAGTTAAAATACTTCTGTTTTAAGCCCATCGATTCCTTGTGAGAAAATGCATCTCTATTATAACCACCATTTGATGCAGCAGTCCATGAAACATACAGTAATGTCTGCATAAAGTTTTAATGACTTTGAATACAATAAAGGCCTGATAGCTTTTTCTTCTATTCTCATCACCAAACAGGAGAGGCCAGGCAGTGTGTGGAAATTCAAATTAGAACACAATGTACTTGGCCATATTGTCCTGAAGTACTCCAAATTATCAGAAATAGTCAGATACACCTGAATGAATGAAAATATTCTTATGAAGGAGTATGAATGATCATTTGTTTTTATAATATTTGTTAGTAACTCAGTTTGACCTTTTTTTGCCTCTCTCATTTCATGGAGATAAGAAGTTAGAGTTAGAGCTCAGGCATGAGCAAGATAGGGCAACTTAGCCCTCTACAAAAGTCCTCTACTCATGAGCCTCAGGGTTACTTCATACTGATTTTTAGGACAACACATAGACTATATTGAAATGATAAGATCACACTCAAAAGAAGTCTTTCTAGCAGAATTGTGACACTATAACCAGGGCCTGGACCTTGAGGAACAATTTAAGACTTGGTATGTCCAAGGGCATTTAGTGATATCTGCAATATTTTCATGTTGAAATTAGTTTCACCAGAAACTAATATAAAATGAAATTAAACGTTAACTGAAATTGGAATGTAAACTATAAATGGAAGCATATATGGTATTTATGGAGAGGAAAAATTAATATAATTAAAACGTCCATACTACCCAAAGCAATCTATAGCTTCAATGCAATTCCTATCAAGATACCCAAGATAAATCTCACATAACTAGAATAATAAAAAATTTTATATAGACCACAAAACACTCTGAATAGCAACAGCAATCATGAAAAATAAGAACAAATGTGGATGAATCACACTACCTAATATCCAACTGTACTACAAGGCCATAGTAATCAAAACAGCATGGTCCTGGTATACAAACAGCATATAAATCAGTGGAATGGAACAGAGAGCCTAGATATTAAACCCATGCCTTTATGGTCACGGAATTGTTGACAAATGAAGCAAGAATACACAATAAAGTAAAGATAGTATCCTGTAATTATAAAAGGATAATATGGAAATTGTCCCCTGGAGTTTGAGCAACTGGGAGTTCCACTGCTTGCTATTATGTGCGCTGACCACCAGGGGGCAGCACGAAACATGGTGGGCTTCAGCGATGTGTAGAGGGTGGCAGTGGAGGCAGTGTTGGCCCGGATGGGCCCTGATGAGAGCAGGACTGCTATGGGATGGTGCAGTAGGGGAGCAGATGGCACTAGGCCAAGGCGGATGAGAGTGGATGCCCCCAAAACCCCGCCTGTTACCGCACAGATGGGGAAAGGCCATTAAGGTGGGGGGCGATGCCGGCGAGCGAGTGGCACCAGGCCAATGTGGGTGGGAGCAGTGCCCCTGATGGCCCCGCTGGTTGCACCACAGATGGCAACAATATATAATAGTGTTTAAACAGTTGTGAAAAGCAAATGGTGCCTTGGTTACAAGAAAACAATTAAAGGGCCTTTTGCAGACTATTATAACTTACTAGAAGCCTGGTGCACAAAATTCGTACACGGGGAGGTGGGGGGTGGTCCCCTAAGCCCAGCCTGTACCCTCTCCAATCCGGGCCCCCTCAGAGGATGTCTGACTGCCAGTAAACCAGCGGACGGACATCCCTCTCACAATCCAGGACCACTGGGTGCTAACTGCTCACCTGCCTACCTGCCTGATCGCCCCCAACAGCCCCCCCTGCTGGCCTGGTTTTCCCTCACGGGGTATATGAAAAAGCTTTATCAGGGGTAATTATATATGCCTAAAGAGTTCCCCAAAGTCTTTGGTAACTTAAAACTTTCGAGTTTGCTGGATTATATAGTAAAAATTATTAAATATCTAGGTATTTTGAAATAACAGGATACTGAAATGTTAATCTGAATTTGCATCATATGGAGAATCTAGAGCAGTGGTTCTCAACCTGTGGGTCTCGACCCCTTTGGCAGTCGAACGACCCTTTCACAGGGGTTGCCTAAGACCATCCTGCATATCAGATATTTACATTATGATTCATAACAATAGCAACATTACAGTTATGAAGTAGCAACGAAAATAATTTTATGGTTGGGTCACAACATGAGGAACTGTATTTAAAGGGCCAGAAGGTTGAGAACCGCTGATCTAGAGAATAGGTTTGAATCTGTTAATGAATAAGTCTTGTATTTTATTTGAAGCAGCTTTTAAAATGTAATGTATTGCTCATCTGAGGAACGTTACTTACATGCTACCTAAAAATTAAGATTATTAAGGGTTAAGAATTCTAATTGGAAAGAAATATGGCATTGGTGTAATGGAAGGCATGAGGCATGAAGATGCAGTTTGAAGGAAAAAGAAAGTGGAATCTAAAGCTGGTTACTTCTGAGTTATAAGGTGTCTGAAGAAAGATTTGAGAAAGTGGTAGAAAGTTTGTGGAAGTTATGGGATTTTGTGATGAGAAATGTTAAAAGGCCGAAACCGGTTTGGCTCAGTGGATAGAGCGTCAGCCTGCGGACTGAATGGTCCCAGGTTCGATTCCGGTCAAGGGCATGTACCTGGGTTGCGGGCACATCCCCAGTAGGAGATGTGCAGGAGGCAGCTGATCGATGTTTCTCTCATCGATGTTTCTAACTCTCTATCCCTCTCCCTTCCTCTCTGTAAAAAATCAATAAAATATATTTAAAAAAAAAAAAAAGAAATGTTAAAAGGAAATTGTACAAATGACACAGGACAGTAAGCCAGGACAAGGGGAATAGGGAAACGAAGATGGTTAAACAGCAATTTGGAGCCATCTAGTAAAACCCATCTTCCCTAAACCAAGGACACTTAAGAGTAAATGATTTGGCCGAAACCGGTTTGGCTTAGTGGATAGAGCGTCGGCCTGCAGACTGAAGGGTCCTGGGTTCGATTCCAGACAAGGGCATGTACCTGGGTTGTGGGCACATCCCCAGTTAGAGATGTGCAGGAGGCAGCTGATTGATGTTTCTCTCATCGATGTTTCTAACTCTCTATCTCTCTCCCTTCCTCTCTGTAAAAAATCAA